CCATATCAATACATACAAAAATAGAATTATTACAAGTCTGGTCCTGGCACAGAATAGACAGGAGTTAACAGAACTGAAATGTCCAGAATACTGTGCATACATGATGCTGGTTTCAAACAAAGGTGACATTTTCAGTAACGGGAAAAGAGACAGACCATTAAAAAACGACGGTAGACCAATCTGCTACCCACTTAAGACTGTAAAATTAGACCCTACACCCCCACAGCTCCCGCCACTCACAAAAATACCTTGAAGCTATACAGATCCAAGGATAAAACACAAATTATAAAATTATTACAAGATGGGGCGCCTGGGGGGCTCAGTCGGTTGAGCGTCCGGCTTCAGCTCGGGTCATGATCTCACGGTCTGTGAGTTCGAGCCCCGCGTCGGGCTCTGTGCTGACAGCTCGGAGCCTGAAGCTGCTTCGGATCCTGTGTCTCCCTCTCTCTCTGCCCCTCACCTGCTCGTGCTCTGTCTCTCTCTGTCTCAAAAATAAATAAAAACATTAAAAAATAATAACAAATAAATAAATAAATAGAATTCTTACAAGGAAACATAGGAGAGAACCACTTATCATCTTCAGACAGACAAGGCCTTCCTAAACATGATATGCTCTACTCAGAAACCACTTTTTAAAATGACAGATTTCACTCCATAAAAACTGTAATAGCCACGAACCTATGCACTAAGTGATACGTGACCCGTCGACGCAAAACAGAAACTGCAGATGCCACAGACACATACCAACAATAGAAGACTTCGACCTACCGCTGTCCGCTGAGGCAGGGTGAGTGGACAAAACATTGAAATATAAATGACACAAACAGCAAATCGGTAAGGCAGCTCTTACGGATCTACATTTAACGTTACAACCGAAAAAGCAGAGAGGGGTGCCTGAGGGGGGCTCAGTCAGTCAAGCCTCTGATTTCAACTCCGTCAGGATCTCACGGTTCGTGAGTTCAAGCCCCTCATGGGGCTCTGTGCTGGCAGTGTGGAGCCTGCTTGGGATTCTCTCTCTCCGCCTCTCTCTACCCCTCTTTGCCCCCCTCTTTCTCTCTCTCCCGCTCTCTCAAAATAAAGAAACATAAAAAACTTAAAAAATTAAAACATAAAAATTAAAAAAGTGAAAATACATTCTCAGACACACACAGAATACCCACAAAAACTATTAGGTCACAGAGAAAAAATAAGTTTCATAAAGCAGAAATATTATAAACAACACCCTAATCACCATGCAATAAAATCAGAAGTTTTAAAGTAAACATTTTAAAGAATTTCTTTCTGGAAATAAGAAAACTTCATGTTAAACTATGAGGTAAGAGAGGCAATACAAACAAAACAGAGAATTTCTGAAAAATTACTGAATACTGGGATTGAAATTCCTATCTTTAAAGACCTGTATTGTTTATATTTAAAATGAAAATAAATGTGTCCCCAACTAGCCCCCCAAAAAAGAAAACCAAAACCTAGAAAAAGAACAAAGTAAACCATAAGAAAGCAAAAGGAAGGAAATAATAAAAATGAAAGCAGAAATTAATAAAGTAGCAAACATATGAATAGTGTATCAGAAAATAAAACCCTGCCTCTCTGGGTAGAAGGAATCATCAAACTACAAACTAATGGCTAATTTAATCAAGGAAGAAAGGGAGAAAGTACAAATATACAAAGAAATAACAATGGGGAAATAACTATTGCCACAGAACGTATTTTCTTCTTTTTCTTTTTTTTCTTTTTTTTTTTTTTTTAGTATTTATTTATTTTTGGGAAAGTGCAAGTGGGGAAGGGGCAGAGAGAAGGGGACAGAGGGTGCGAGGCAGGCTCTGCACTGACAGACTGACAGCGGCGAGCCCGACGCGGGGCTCAAACCCACAAACCGTGAGATCGTGACATTAGCCCAAGTCGGACGCTCAACCGACTGAGCCACCCAGGCACCCCGCCACAGAGCATATTTTAGAGCCAAAAAAGACCACTTGGCGCACCCCAATGAAATTAAACTTTATAACTTAATTGAAATGCAGAATTTCTAAGGAAAAGGTAGTTTACCAAAACTGACAAGCGACTGAAACAGACCCGTTTCCACAAAAGGGATAGAGAAAGCGATCAAAGAGCGATCCCACAGGAAAGCGCCAGGTCCAGAAGGTGTCAAGGGAGAACTCCACCAAACCTGAGAGACTAGACAGTCCCAGAGCCACATAAATTGTCTCACAAATAGACAATAAATGAAAACTTCCAAATTATATTTACAAAGCAAGTGCAGTATTGCCACCTAAACCTGATAAAGATAGCACCAAAGAAGTTATAGACCAATCACTTGTGACCACAGACGCAAAAAACCCTGAATGAACAGACACTACTACCACATTAAGAAAACAATACTTTGACCAAGCGTTATTTATACCAGGAATGCAAGTACAGCTCAAGAATAGGAAATCCATGAATACAATTCAACACATCCATGAATTTAAGAGGAAAAAACCCATACGACTGTCTCCATGGAGTCTGAAAAAGCCTTTACCAAAATTCGAGATGTATTCCTAATGAAGATCCTTGGGAAAACAGGAGCGGATGGAAGCCCCTTCACGTGCTCGTGGAAGTTTGCGTGAGTCGTGGGGCCAGCTCCCTCCTTACTGGGCACACACCGCAGGCAGCCCACTGAGGTCAGGAACCAGGCGACGATGCCCACGACCTCCACTACTCCTTAACAACGGGTCCAGACAGACAAAACGAACCCGAGGCATAAGAACCGAGAAAGAGAAGACGACATGATAGGATATGTGGAAAAGCCCCAGACTTTGGGCCCTAGAGAATCAGCAACAAAACTAACTCAAACAATAAGAGAAATCAAGGTTAACATCAACCTTGTTGAAAAAAATCAACAGCCCTCATATACACAAAACAAACCAACTAGAAGATACAATGAGGGAGAAAACCCCACTTACATTAGCAAAAAAAAAAGGAAAATCTTAGAAATCTGACAAGAAACAATTAAAATCTACAATGGAGAAAAGTACAAAGCACTTCCAAAGACACAAAAGTGGACTTACACAAGCAGAAAGACGCCCCTCGCTCGGGGTCAGACGTCCGGGCACCTGGTCTGCCGGCCAGGCAGGAAGACACGCCGTGAACCCGTTAGCCGCCCGCGAATAGTCACGGACGCCTCGGCAGCTGTGTTTCTAGCTGTCGCGCAGGTACAGTGATGCTGAGACTGTGTCTGCACGTGTCAACCGTGGTGATGCTGTCCAGAGCCACGGGAGATGCAAACACGGCATGGGACTCGGCAACAAAGAGCCCCGCGGGTGAGGCTCAAATCGGAGGCACGGGTGTCAGCCCACGGTCCCTCAGACACACGCTTTCCTAGCTCTGTCCGCCCAAGGGCCACAGGCACCGACACGCCCTCACTGCCAGAGGCCTGAGGGCTCGCTCTGCAAAGAAATGGCTGATTCCAGGACAAGGACAGCGAAGGCAGGAGAGCCTTCAGCAAGGATACCTTGCTGTGCTGGAAAGTTCAAGACACGTCCCTGAAAAGAACACGGGGCCAGCCTACAGTGACCCTCCCTGGCCAAATCTGGGACGACCTGAGCAGCAAGATAAGCAAGGATACCTGATGACAACATCTTATGAGACAGAGGTCCACGCAGGCTCTTTCCTGGAGTGGAGCACCGGCTGATCCGTTCGGCAGAATGTGTTTGTGGCCCCAAGGAAGACCAGTTCAGAAGAATTATTGTTGGGTGCTCAACCTAAGCGGGAGAGCCGGACGAGGGGCAAGATAATCCGGTGGTCTCCGTGGCCCCCCAGACATAGCTTATCAGTGGCAGGGGAAAACACTAACTACAGCATGGAGAAACTTGCCACCGCGCAGGCGTGGAGAGAAGGGGCAGTTAGCACCGCGGGCCCGGCACGGCCGTCCGTGGGCCTGCTCACAGGGTGGGCCCTTGGCTGAGGCCTGGGAACACGGATCGTGGGATGGTTCCCACCACCACGTGACAGGAGGGCCTCACGGGGCCCGGGCTCTATGGACAAATATGGCCTGTGCTGAACACCTGTTTGCCCTCTGGGAGCCTAGAGTTTTGGTACGAGGCAGGTAGAGGGTGCCCACGTGCCCAGACCCCAAAAAAAGCCCTGGGCGCTGATCTCTGACAAGCTCCCCGGTGGACATCTCCCACGGGACGTCATGCTCACTGCTGGAGGTATAAGCCCACCCTGCACGACTGTCTCCACTGGGAAAGGCTACAAAGCAAAATCAGCAAAGGCAAAAGGGTCCAGGCATAAGCTTCTAGTCCTTTCTTATTATAATTACAAAATGCTACCTCTGCGTGCTCACGTTCAGGTGAAACTGTCACAACGTGGAATGACCTATGTGTGCTATTTATCATGAAATGCTTGTTTTATTAGAGCCGAAACAGACAGGAAGAAATGACCCACAGGGTGTCCTCTCAGTTCAGGGCACAAGAGTTCTGTCAAGAGTGACGAGCTTCCTTCTGGGCTCATACACACACGATTGCCAAGTACACGTAAGGGCCGTGACGTCGAGCGTCACTCGGGTAGTCGTGGAGCGCCCGCTGTACGGGCACCACGGCGGTGGGGAAGCAGGGCCATCCCCTGCCCTCAGAAAGCCTACAAACCAGCAGGGGAGACCAACAAGGATTACGAAGTCAAGTAACCACCTGAGAGTGAACATGGGGAGTTTGGAAAAGGAAGCTCGGAGTCAATATTAACAATACCTAGAGGCCACGAGGGCGCGGGGGGCTCACAAGATCTCCAAACACAAGAAGACCGTACTTGGTGATGACCAAGAGGGCGACGCACTGGACCAGAGCAGAAACACGGAAGGACGAAGCCAGACATTCGGCTGAGGAACGGAGAAGAGAGCACACCAAGACAGAGTACGTTGAAAAGTCAATTTGATTAAGTAGAGCCGCCTGAACAAAAGCTAGACCTGTGAATTCTGAATCCTGCTCCAAGGCATTTTCTCGTAATTCTCTCCCTACAGAAATACTTACACAGCATTCCGTCCAATAAATATGAAGAAAGGGGAAAGTGAGCAGAGCTTTGTTTCCATCTTTGGGTAGCAGCTCCTCTTTGAATTGAACGAAGTTGGATTCCAGGTGAATCATCTTTGGAGCACGGCCATAGGACCTACAAACAATTTTTAAAACGTCACTGAGGAAAATGAAGGATGTTCAGCAGAAAGAAAAGGGAAAAATCCGACAGTAACTGTAACCACATCTGTGAGTTTGGAAGTACACATATGCTATTAGTCCTGAATTACAGCGATAATATTCTGTCCAAAAAGATTCCATAAATTATCTCAACAAGGCTCAAAATTACGTATCAAAGCTCCCTCTCCATAAAGTCTGTCCTTTTACTCAGTGGCACACACAGGCTTCTTTGCAACACAGACTTCTGAGAAAAACGGCTTTTCCTTAAGAGTTTCACTATAAAAAGAAGTTACTGTAAAAAAAAAGAGATTCCCAAAAGCGCAGTTGGAAGATATGAAAGCTTTAAGCCACACACATACTTGTGTGATCACCTGTATTATCCAAAACAGAGGACGACTGGTGGCAGAGAGCTGCCCCCCACCCCCCAGGGAGGAGGGACAGAGAAGCCCCGGAAGGCTGCAGACACCCAAAGAAAGGCTATCAGGGCATGGGTGCCAGATCACTGCGCTTGTGAAAAGTCCACCATGCTACGGGTATCTTTCCTCCACACTTGGATTTTCCACCCCTAGAAATCCTACAGCTGGATTTTGTACGTTTTGTTCAATAAAGAGTCTACGTGTAATAAACTGAAACTAACCACATTTCACATGATCATGCGGATGCCTGACCTTGTGTATTTTCTACCTGCGGGCTCACTCTTCCTTCCTGTCCTTTGGGAAACCAATCAAATTTTCTTTTTCCATCCTTTTTCTCTGCTGGTTCGAAAGCTTAACCATCTATTTCTGTCCTCCTGTTTGTTACATTTTCATTTTTTAATATGCATACATTTTTTTCTTCAAAGACTAGAGTAAATGTCTCTCTTCTCCCTGAATACATCAAGTACTTTCTTCCCTCTGCTTCTTCCCCACTTCTAAAGTTTTAGATTTTTTAATTTTTAAAAGGGCTGACACCTTAACTTCAGAAAAACAGAAAATGTTTTTCTGACTCATTTACCGGCAGCTGTGCCTTTCATCCTACGAATTCTGGGTTCGTTTTCTTTCCTGTTGCGACGTGTCCTTTTATTCCTTCAGGGTGGGAAGGTTTCCGATCACACGTGTCTGAAAACGTTTCTATCGTTTTTCTTTCTTTCCCAACCGGCTCCACGTCATGGCAAGCAACGAACACAACATCTGAATGGCGCTCGGGAGTAGACACGTGTGGCCTAGTGCAGCCAGAAGTGACAGATCCCGGCCCCAGCTGGCTCCCAGCCCTTCGAGGGACAAACCTTCTCAGTCCCACGGCAGCCGGGCCCACAGGCAGGGGCGCCGACTAGGTTTTCCGTTCCACACCGGAGTCTGACTAACACAGACTCGAGGTTGAAAGGTGTCTTCCGTGAGTACTTTGAGAAGCGCGGTCTGCCCCGCTGCATTTGCAGTGTCGTTAGAGACTGGTGTCCTTGTCCGTCTGTTTGCCCGGCACGGCTTCTGGTTTGCTCCAGTCGGCTTTCACCCCACTGGACTTTCAGTGGGCTCCAGCAAGCTTCTCATCTGCCTCGGGGAACGTGGTGCCTGTCCCCGGTTCTCTAGCCTCTGCTCCGACACCTGTGGCTGTCCCCGCATCTTGGCGTGTCCTTGGGCCCCGCACCTGTGCTCTCGGCACCGAGCCCCAGCTGCAGGGCGACAGAGCCCCGTCCTCCGGCTCACCGATGGCTCTCCACCACACACCTGTTCACTGCATCCAGTAAAGTTCCGGCTTCAAGTTTAGATCCAAGATCTACTCAATTACCTGTAAATTTTCATCAGAGCCACATGTACCTACTTTAACGTGTCAAATGGTGTCCAAAAGCCTTTCTCTCTCTCACACTGACAAGCGGCTGCCTGGCCCAGCCTCCTCCACCTCCCGGCTGTGCTCGCTCCCTAGAGCTGCGCTCACACATTAGCACAAACCCAGACGCTTAACACAACATTAACTTGCTCGCATCTCAGGAGGCCAGAAGTTTGAAACCAAGGTGCTGGCAGTGCTGGCTTCCTCTGGAAGCTCCGGGGGAGGCTGCGTTCTGGTCTCTCCTCCCTTCCAGCAAACGGTGGCGGTCTTCCGCTGGCAGACCCACCACGCCAACGGCTGCCTCCACCCCCAGCGGACTTCTCCTGTGTGCCTGTGTCTTCTCAGGACACCTGTCACTGGATGTAGGGCCCACGCTACTCCAGATGAGTAAAGAGCCTTCTTCCAAATAAAGTCACACTCACAGCTTCCAGATGGACCTGTCTTTTGGGGGCCACAATTCAACCCACTGTATCTCCTCGAACGCTCTGAGACAGGATGTCCGACCGTCCGTGACAGATGCAGGCCAGGCTCCGCCTGCCCGTCCGTCCTCTTGCGCGCCCCGCACCCTCCCGACGGCCCTCTCGCGGGCGACTGCCACCCCTGCCGCGTGCTTCCCCTAGTGTTAAGTGTGTGCCACTGCTCACGCTTGAGCAACACACTCGGGCTACAGCGGCTCAGTGACGTGCCCGTGGTCTCGCGGCATTCTTCATTTCCCCAGCCCACGGTCACCATTTCTAATCCTTCCCAAGCTCTCCGGCAGAGCCATAAACCCAAGGGCCACCCACACAGTCAAGCCTCAGCTAGCCCGGCAGTCCCTTTCCCCGGCTCACGGCCCTCAGAAGGCCTCCTGCTCCCATCGGGAAGGCACCGTGGGAGCGCGTGGGAGCACGCTAGGACTTTTCCTGGGGCCATCGGCCAGTCCCGAGGAATTCTCCACTCTCCTGCCTGGGGAGCAGGGGTGGGGCCTGAGCTCCGCCACGACGTGGCTGCCCCTGTTCAGATCCCGACCGGCCGCTGCCAGCATGGCACTTCTCCCCGCTCCGCGGTGCCTCGTCAGCAGAGGTGGGCGTCCTCTGTCCCGCAGAGGTGGGCGACCGCTCCCCGCCCGCGCCCCGCCTGCCCCCTTCCAGCACGCCCTTGCCTTCGCCCGCCACCGTCCTGGGCCCGGTGACCTGCTTCCCTGGGAGCCGCCTCTGCAGACACACGGGCTCGGCCTTCTCTCCCGAGGCCCCCGTCTCTCTTCCTTCCCCGGGAAGGTGTGGAGTCTCCGCTGCATCCCCCCCGCCCGGCTACGTGCCTGCGCCCTCCCGCCTCCTCAGCCCTCTCCTCCCGCTCAGGGAGGCTCGGGAACACGAAGAGATGAGCACACGCTGAATCTACAGTTTCTCCTTGTCTCCTCGTAAGCCCTTTTCTTGCTTCGCGGACACACCTCTTTTATCTTTCTGGATGTCGAAATAACGTGCATGAGAAATCTTCTCCAGATACGAATTCCTCCTCCGCCGAATCACGTCTCTCATGGACGGCGCTGGGCCTCCTCAGATGGTGACCGATTCTCCCATTTTCTATCTGCCCTTTACTTTAAATTTAGTAACACATTTCCTTCTAATGCTACAGGCGGACACAGACACGAGCCCAGAGCCCGTAGAGAGCCCTGGTGAGTGACACCCAGAAAGCCACATTCATCTGCATGGTGTCAGGGAACACACACTCTGGTCAGTAAGAAATAATGCAGTGACAGTGACAACCGGGACTACGTGAGTGTGCGTGACAACCGGTTAAAAGCAGATTACCTGAACTAGCAAGTCAAAATCCAAGCATCTTCCAGAAATAATACATCTCATCTCAGCAGAAAGAAGTTTCCCAATGAGATAATTCAAACGCCAACCATTTCTCCGACCAAGTCATGAGATGAACAATACACAGGAAAGGGAAAACGGGACGGCTGATCTGGTTTCCCCCCGATTTTTATGTAACATTTTCCATATACGTGCTCATCCTTCAGAGAAGAGCACAGGAGCTCAGGGAGGAGAGCGGTCCTGCTGAGAGCACAGGTGAAGGCGACACCTTCCGTTTCCGTGCGGGGTCAGAGTGCAGGTCTCGTTTCCAAAATGCCTGTGTCTTTAAGACACTCTAAGCCACCAGGAAGAAGCACGCACGTCATTCCTATAAAAGAGGGCCCTGAACTCAAAAGAGCAGTCTTGCTTCTACCACCCTATGTCTCGGTAACAAAGCCAACACACTCCTTAAAGAGTGAGGCCAAGAGATCTTGTAACATGTTCAGTTTCGTTCCAATACACTTTAGAACTTAGGCTTTAACTTTGACTACCTCACTTGCTCACAGAAATGTCTAAAAAGTGAAGAGGGAGATAAAGCCAAAAAAACCAAACAGGCCACACCTTCTCCATTCCATCGGTTCCCTCGGAAGCTGCTGGGAAAGCGTTGGATAAATAGAAGTAAATAAATTCTGATCCCCAGCACCTACAACAGGAATAAAGAGAAAGGCAGTTACAACAGTTTTAGGTGAAAACGGGCAACATGAGCTCTAGAATTTATTGAGTTGCTAACTGTAGACAGTTTTATATTTAGCAAAATGACATCACAAAACAAAATCGTTCTATACCTTTAAATACTGATCCCAAAAATAAAAAACGAGTAAATAAATAACTGATCTCACCTGACACCCGTAACCCAGCTTCTCCCTTACGGCACCTCCACGAGGCAGGGACCCCTTTCCCCACGCAGAGAATGAGGATCAGAAAAGCGGAGCGCCCTGCCCAAGGCCACGGAGCTCAGGAGAGAGGGAGCTGGCTCCCTCCAGCTGCCTCCCGAGCCCGTGATCCACAGCCATCGCTTTCCTTGACTTTGTGAGACCAGCCACAAACGCCGTGCAGAAAAGGAAACCCTGAGAAGTGAACACGAATTCCTTCACTGAAACAGACTCGATATGCATCGACAGGCTGGCAGGAGCTAAGACGTACAGCACACTGTCCGTGCACGTGACACACACCACACCCGGCGGGCCTCACTGACCGCTCAGGCCGGCAAGCACCCGACCTCACCGACCGGGAAGGTGACATGCAGGCGGCACGTGAGAGGCCGAGGCGCTCGGGCCACGGGGCTGCGGGCGGGGCCTAGTTATGAACCGGGTGCCCGACTTCGGGCCACACGCTCGGGCTTAACTCGGCTCTGTCATCTTAGCCCCAACGCAACGGGAAGTCCATTAGCTCTCATTAAATCATAGCACGACCACATCATTCCTAAGCTAAAACAGAACCTTTTAACGTAGATGACTCAAACTCTTACGCTCGAGGATCCTCAAACTTGAAGCAAAACCATTATCCAAATTGCTTTCGTATTGATCTTAAGGAAATCATTGGGAATTGATGCGGGCCATTAACACAGTTGCTTGTTTTGCTATCGTGAACATTAAAAAAAACAAGACGAGACCAAACAAAACACCTCCCCCAAACCACGGAACGGTATCGAGTCCCCGCTGAGAGGAGCGGTGTTTCCGGGCAGCGGAGCATCAGGGGCGGGGGCGAGGGGACCGGACACACGGGCGCTGACAGCCTGACCGCCCGGCCCCGGCTCCTCGCCAACGCCACCTACTTAATCAGCTGAGTCAGCCGGGGGACACCGCCACCCTCCTGTGCCTCCGAGGGCCATCTGCGAGGTAGGAAAATAATACCGAGGGCTGCGGCCACACAAATAACCTGGAACGAGGCCTGACACAAAGTATTTTGGGTTCCTCCTACTACATTTTTTGTTAAAATAAAAACAATTTTTATGTTTTACATTCGGTTGGCAGCCACCTTAGAAATCATTAAAGTAAGAAAATATTCGGTTAGCAGCACATTTCTTACCGTGGACCGCCATTCCTACTGTCTCTCTAGAAGGTTCCAAGATTAATGTACAAAAATTACCACTCTTGTGCTAACACGGCAGTAAGGGCAACCACACGGAAGCTGTCCCCTGTCTCACCGGTGTTCGCCCGTCCTCGTCCCAGAGTCTCCAGCGGGCATACATGTGGACACAGAGCGGGACGATGAAATGCCCCTTATGCCCTCCCACCAAGTGAGCTCCCAGGAAAATCCTAACAGTAAAACTCATGTCAATGGAGACTGTAATTTTCTTGAATTCTCTCATGGAATAAATCTTTAATTTGTGTCCCAAATTTAATTTTAAAAGATTACAGGTCAACCAGCACAGTAACTGTGGGCTTAAATGTGACCGGCTGACCTCAGTGCCTGTTCTGAACTGAACTGTGTTCCCCCACAAAAGTCACGTTGAAGTCCTAACCCCAGTGGCTCTGAATGGGACTGTATTTGGAGATCAGGTCGCTGAAGAGGCAATTACGTTAAATGACGTCTTTAAGGTCTCCAGGCCCTGATCCCATCTGACTGGTGCCCTTCTAAGAAAAGAAAAATGTGAACGCACAGAGAGAGACAGCAGGGATGTGACAAGATTGTGGGAGGACAGAGAGAAGACAGCTGTCTACATGGCAAAAAGGGAAACCTCAGCAGCAGACCCTACTGAGACCTTGATCTTGGACTCCCGGCCTCCAGAACTGCAAGTTTCGGTTGCTTCAGCCACAAAGGCAGCCCGAGCAGACAGAACCATGCCCCCCGATTTACATTTGGAGACCAAATTCTTCTAACCCACTGAGGCTCTAGCTACACTGTGGAATCAGAATAGAGAAAAGCTACCATGATGTTCCAGAATACACACCTATTACCATAATTCTCTTCCACCTTCAGATCGAGGGTTATGAAAACCTGCGATGCCCCCTGAAAACGGGCTCTGGAGAGTCGGAGCATGCAAAGGGGAAGATAGGAGTTGAAGCTAAAACTCTTAAAGAATGAAATCTCAGCTAATGTGATAAGTAATCAGCAACACATACTTTGTAGAGTCCCCAAAACAGCCACAAAGTAGAAAAGGCCTTAGAGCTTTGAGGTCTGAATGGTAAGACAGAACGTCCAAGCTGATGTTTCAACTTTAATCCCATGGGCAACAGAGGGAGAAACACCAAGGATTCAGTTCTTTGAAAGTAGCTACGGGGGCCCCTGGGGGGCTCAGCCGGTTGAGGGCCGACTTCGACTCAGGTCGTGATCTCAGCAGTCCGTGAGTTCGAGCCCCACGTCGGGCTCTGTGCTGACGGCTCGGAGCCTGGAGCCTGCTTCGGACTCTGCGTCTCCCTCTCTCTGCCCCTCCTTCACTTGCACTCTCTGTCTCTGTCTCTCAAAAATAAACGTTAAAAAAACTATTTTAATAAAAAATAAATAA